ACCTGTACGGAAGTAAATTTTTAATCCGAACCGATCATGGAGCCTTTAAGTGGTTAATGCAATTTAAGAACCCTGAGGGTCAAATCGCCAGATGGATTGAACGGGAGTACGACTTCAAGATTGAACATCGAGCCGGAATAAGTCACAAAAATGCCGATTCTCTCTCTAGAAGACCATGTCCAGCAGAGTGCTTCCACTGCAATAAAGCGGAATCCAAAGAAAGTGGACTACTAAGAACAAGTGTAGTCAACGATGAGTGGGCCCCTGCTAAAATTAGGGAAGAACAAGAGAATGATACCGTTTTAAGGAAGATGCGACAATGGAAAAAAGAAAATCGTCGACCTACTTGGCAAGAAGTATCTAATCTCTCTTCAGTGGGACTCTTTTATACTGGAAGATGGCCTACTAAAGCGACCCAGACAGCACACCAAATCCTTTGGATATCTACTGAACATCCCAATATCCACTGAATGTCCAGTCCATGGTAGATATCTATTTTATATCCATGAAATGTAATTTATAGACATGCAAATGTCCATAAATAATAGTAATTATATAGCAAATTATTAAAAAATTACGCCATTATGCTCGCCATTGTGCCTAATAGTACCGTTCAGATATTTAAAATTAATTTTTTTAAGGTGTATTCAATATCCCATGAACATCCACTAAATATATCAAAGTCTAGGCGCGAACGCAAACCATCGTGGATATCCACTAGATGTTATTTGATTCTGCTTACTAAGTATAGATGGCGATACCACTATCGCATCTACTCATGCTCGACCCGCCGTAATTGAGTTAGATCGAAATATGTGTCCTAATCACTCCATTAGAGACTGGAGTCGAGAATTTTCATTTATTGCTGAAGAGTCCTAATAAGGATGACTTTCTCCGTAGTGGGCAAAATCAAAGGCAGAGTGTTGAAAATATTTTGAGTGTTGAAAATATTTTTTATCTCTGCTATTTTCTTTCGACGTTATTCAATAATCATTGGTTACTTATGAACCTTTACGTGCCTCTACTAAAGATACCCATAAAATATTTTGCTGAATATCCGAATATCTTCTATATCCTGGGATATAGACGTACATTTGGATATCCATATTAGATCCACAGAATATTTCTGATGTTCTGTGGATATATTGGATATCCACAAAAGATATTCTGTGGAATCTCTGGGATTTGGTGTGTTGTCTGGGGAATACTTGAAAATGATGATGGTTCCGAGAATAGAAGACAGTTGGTCATTCCACAAAGTAGAGTAGCTGAAGTACTCCGTCAGTTACACGACAGTCCATCAGGAGGATATCTCGGTGTTAGGAAAACCCTTCAGAGAGTTCGGGAAAGGATGAACAGTTCCGATTATGTAAAGGACTGGTGTAAGAAATGTACCACCTGTGCTATGAGTAATAGACCTCAACGAAAAAGGAAGTTTCGAAGCAATACAACGTTGGTAGCCCATTTGAGAGGATCGCCATTCCAAATCAAGAGACCGCAACTGTTGCAGATGTATTGATAAAAAGTTTATCTGTTGATTTGGAGTGCCCTTGGAGATCCACAGTGACCAAGGCAGAAATGTTGAAAGTCACCTTTTCCGTGGAATCTGTGACAGACTGAGCATGAAGAAAACCAGAACCACAGCATTGCATCCACAATCCGATGGAATGGTACAGACCACTGGCAAATATCTGTCAAAAGTGGTTTCAAACCATCAGAGAGATTGGGATCAGTCTTTCGCTCTTTGCAATGGCTTATAGATCCGCTGTCAATGAATCAACAGGCCAAACACCAGCAAAGGTCTTGTTTGGTGGTAAGATGAAACTACCGTGCGACCTCGAGTTTGTATGCCGACCTGAAGAAGATGTAGCTGGTGCAGATTATGTGATCCAGTTACGAAGAAGAATGGACGATATGCATGAATTAGTTCGCTCGCATCTTTAACTCGCCAGCGACAGAATGAAGAAGCGATACGATACCCAAGCCACAGAAGGATGTTTCAAAGAAGGCGACAAAGTCTGGCTCCATAACTCAAAAAGACAAAAGGGTTATTTTCCGAAGCTTCAAAGGTCTTGGGAAGGTCCGTACCTCTTCAAGAATAAAATAAATGATTTAATTTACCGTATAAGTAAGATCCCAAACGGTAAACCGAAGGTAGTGCATCAAAACAGGCTGGCACCATTTGAGGGTGACCATGAAGAAGAAGTAAACCAACTTCAAGAAACACCAGACCTTGTCTTTGAAGAATTTATGGGTGCATATAGAGGTACTGGAAAAGCCAGATATGGTGTTACGACCGAGCAACAACAAGATCTGCTCTCGCTTCCAAAAGACTACTCGCTGGTCCATAGTACTTCCGCCGGCGAGGACTGGCATATGTGTTCCGTAAGAAGTTTGGTCGACTGCTAGAACTTCAACGTAAGTTACCCTCCCCTGGAAAAGCCTTGAAACTTCAAGACAAATCGCGCTACCTTTTCTATTTGATAACGAAGAACAACTTCCGAAATCGATCTACTTATTTTGATGTATGGAAAGCATTACTTAGTTTAAGGGAGCACGTTGGGAGTCTAATGTACAGAAACTAGCCATGCCGAAGATAAAAGGAAATCAGCTGGATTGGAGGATCATTAGGAACATGGTGGAAGTAATCTTTCAAGATACCGGAGTCCAAATACTGGTCTGTAGCCATTCGCCCAGTGCCTAGGTTACAGCTAAGACAGTCCCTTGTTACTTCCATGCAACTAGAAATTGTAAAAGAGAGTTTAGTTGCAGATACAACCATTCCATTTTAGTTTCGTAAGAGTTCCAGGAGGATCTATCTCTTAAGGAGGGGGCAATGTAATGTGAGCCATTTCATTATTCAGTCATGCTCTAATCCTCCAAGTCCTTCTCTGTCTTATTTGGCCTTTGAGGCTCAACTTGTCCGATTATCATACATAATTAAACCCCTTAAGACCAAACATGTGACAACTATGGCGGAGGTGCTTTCGATTACTATTCGAGAAAGAACGGGATAATGTTTCTAGTATATTCCAAATATAACGAGATATTTCTAGTTTGGCGGAGGAACATTCTGGAACCTTCACCATAACTTTAAATTTGTATATAAATATTGGTGGAGGAACAACGCAGTCAGTTATATATGGACAGTCAAGAGAAATAGTGAACAGTTTAAAGACATTCGAAATATATTTAAAGTGTTTAAATAAAATATTAATAAATAAACTGTTGTTTAAAATAAACAAACATCACAATATCTAAATACTCGATTATCAAAATATGTTTCTCTTCTTTCAAAATATCTAAGTTAATGTCACCTAAAAAGAAGTGATTTTCAACTAGTTGATTTTTTGTTTGTTCTAGATAAGATCGCAGTGATAATAAAAATTAGTCATTATCCCCAGCAGGAGACCTATAAACACATGTTATTAATATATATTTGTTTTTTGTTGTTTTTACTTTCCTATCTGTATATAGATAAGGAAAGTATAGGAATCATGATTTTTTCGACTTCCAGTTTTTGACGGATTTTTACGTTTTGGGGTCCCCTGAATCTGTTTTGACTATTTTCGGGATGATGTCTGTGTGTGTGTCTGTGTGTCTGTATCCGCCATAACTCATGAACCGATACAAAGAAAAACACCAAATTTTAAACTTAAGCTTTATTCCGGCGTCCAATGAACTGATTAGATTTTGGGCAGAATCGGAACATCTGGGGGGTACTTTATATGTGGTAATTTTTATATTTATTTACGTTTGGAGAATAAAAGTTACAATATTATTATAAATATTTTTTGTTCTACACAAAATTTTCCTAAAATGGTCCGTATTCGAGAAATTTGACAAAATGTAATAAAATAATTTTTTATAAAAATTGTTCGGATAAAAGTTGTTTATAATATAATTTTCTATAGTTTTTATTATAATACATAATTTCTCTAAAATGGACCGTATCCGAGATATTTGAGAAAATGTGTAAATTTCGAATTTTGAAGAAAACTCAAAAACGGATAAAGGAAAAAACATTAAATTTTAAATTTAAGTTTTATTTCCGCCTGACGTAAAATGATTAGATTTTGAACAAAGTCAGAACATCTGGGGGGGGGGGGTACTTTATGGGAGGCCGTTTTTATATTTCATGGAATATATCTGTTATTTATGTTTGGAGAAGAAAATTGTTCAAATAAAAGTTACTTCTTATATTATTATCTATAATTTTTGCTTTTGTCAAATTTTCCTGAAATGGTCCGCATTCGAGAAATATGACAAAATGTGCAAAATTCTGATTTTTAAGAAAATTGTTAAACTAAAAGTTGTTTGCGATATCGATCTCTATAATTTTTGTCTTTACATGATTTTTCTAAATTGGACCGTAATCGAAAAATTGGAGGAAAAGTGCTAAATTTAAATTTTTCAGTATTTTCGTTTTCAATGAATATCTATAGAAAAATGTTTCGAGTTAGATATATGTGGAAAATGTATATATTTAGTTTATCCTTTAAACATTTATAGAGGTGCTACAATAGGCTGTACAAAATAACCAGAAAAAGCCTATAAAAGTCAGATAGGAAAGTCATGTGTTGGACACATCAGATTTTTATTTTTATTTCAATGACTTTACAATATGCTATACTTACTATTTTGCAGTCTATTCTAATTCTTTTCTAATATATGCTACCACTCCATCGTTTTCATTGAAGTCCCCTTCATTATAGACCACATTATGATTATCAATTTTATGACAGTTTATATCTTGGATTATAAAACTTTCAGTTAATTCAATATTTTTGTTTAGACTTTGTATGTTTTGATGTAGTAATTTAAAATAATTTTTATTATAATCATTTAATCGTGAATTCAAATCAATAATATTATTACATTCCATAGTAATTACCGGAGTATAGTTAATGTCTCTAACAAATTGATCCATTTTTAAAGTGGATATAAAAAACTAGAATGGACAAAACAATTCAACAGTATAAGCGAAATATGTTATATATCTACATATTTTTTGAATCTTGTAGCAATTTTTTTCTTTCATGTGCCGCTTCTTTTGTGCAGTCACTTTCGAAAACTTCTTCAGGTATAGGTGGTGATGGTGTGTTGATAACTTTTTGCTTCTGTGAAAGGCTCTTTTCGTCTTCTAATTTTTCTTCAAGGGCAATGTCTTTAACAGTGTACGCTTTATTATAAATGTACAGTTTCTCTCCCTTTATATAACACCTGTCCTTAGTTTGTTTTCTAATTTCTTTCAGGCGTTTCGCTAATATTTTATTTCTCTCTTGCTGAGCTTTGGTTAAGTTCGAAGTAATAGTAATATTCGTACCTTTCAATTTCTTGCAATTTCTCAATATATTTACTTTTGTAGATTTAGTAGTGAATTCTATTTTTAATGGGCCCCTGCCACCAATAAGATAAAGGTCACTTATGTCGCTTTTTATGACGTCTACGTTGAGAAGACTATTTAGTTTATGACATACGTTCTTCGGGGTTGAGAAACTAATCCAGAAACAAATAAATTTTTTTTCTTCACGGTTTGGTGTAAATATTCTACTGTTTCTTTGAGTGTTTTATTTTCCTCTTCTAATTCTTTTATTTTTTCATTAACTAAGTCATTTTTTTGTAGAATCCTGCTTTCACTAGCAGAAATGGCATTCTTTAATTCTTTAATGATATCTTCTTTTAATTTTTCCATTGTCTTTATTTTCGTTGTTAATAAATTATTTCTTATTTTCGGTTTTTATTTTGTCTACTAATCTCCCTGACTATATCAACAACCGACTGCTTACTATCTTCAATACCGTTTGATAGCAAAAAACAACGGTTTTATTTAGGTATTTTATATGTAAATTGCATAAAAATCACTGATTTTCTAAATATCTTTATCAGTGTTGAACAATATTAATTTGTTGATTTACGAGTACTTACTGTGATGTTTTTTACTTTTTTCGTGGACAGTTTAGCAGTCACTATTTCACTTTAACTTTTTTAAATGAAATTTGAAGGAGAAGCAGGACACACATTTTTACGTCTTTACTATTCAACGGCTCTACTTACTCTTAATTAGTCGATTATTTTCGATTAACCGATTATTTTCGATCAACCGATTATTTTCGATTAATCGATTATTTTCGATTAATCGATTATTTTTGATTAATTGATTATTTTCGATTAATCTATTATTTTCGAATAATCGATTATTTCCGATTAATCGATTAGTTTCAATTAATCGATTACTTTCGAGTAATCGAATATTCGATTATTTTCTACTAATTTATTTTGATAATCGTCCAGCCCTAATGTCAACCCCCCTTATCCCCAATTTTTAGAATATATAGGCTTCATTCCCTTGTACAGTTTGATTTTTTAATAAAAATTTCAAGTTGATATCATTTTCGTTTTTGAGTTAGGTTAGGTTTTTCGTTTTTTAGTTAGGAAATTTTTAAATATTTCAACCCCCTCATTTTAATTCGGATTTAAAAAATTCATATTGGTATCGCTTTTTGTTTCTGATTTTTAATTTTTTTTTTAATTTCAACCCCCCTTAACCCCCATTTTTATTCAGATTTTTTCCAGAATCAATAGGCTTCATTGCATTGTAGAGCTTGATTTTTACTAAAAAATTTATGTTGATATCGCTTTTCATTTTTGATTTATGACTGTTTTTTAATATGTCAACCCCTCTCAACCCCCCATTTTAATTCAGATTTTTACAAAATCAATAAGCTTCATCTTCTTATATTACTTGATTTTTACTAAAAATTTCATGTTCGATTTCGCTTTTACCGAAAGCTATCAATAAATATAACAAACTTGCAAGGAAACTTGCATTTATATTTGTAAGCTGCAGTACATTTGCAGCGAATGATTTTGCTTAGTGGGAATAATAAAAAAGTTTCTTATGCGGTGCCGATTTAATTGGACACAATGTGTAACAAGCCCTAATTAGATTTTTATTGTACAAAATTTTCAAAACATGAGTAGATACAATTCTTACAGTCAGAAATTTACTAAATAATTTTGTCCATCTGGCGTGGGTATTGTTCGAAACATTGTGCGTCGAATCGTAATATCATGTGCAAGAAAGAGCTTCTCAAATGTCAAAAAATATCCAGTGTAATTTCGTTCAGGGTACCCACCAGGAGAAAAATATCCGGAAATTTTTTTGGGTTTGTACGAGTTACAACATCGAGTTAAGTAAAATGAGGAAACCCAGAATAAAAATACAGATTGAAAACTGTATATCTGAACAAAACAATTTCAATGGTTCAATCAAAGTTACTTTCATAAAAAATTACAAACTTGTGAATGTTGCCCAACATCTTTTAGCCAATTAATTCAAGAAGACAAATTGTGTATAGGCTGGGAGAGATGTACATTATATGAAGCCCTTGACATACCGAGATGCTATAATTGCCAAGGATCTTATCAAGTAAAGACTGTTGTTCGAATGCAGTAGTATGTTCCCAGTGTGGTGAAAATCATCAAGACAACAACTGCTCTAAACATAAAATATGTTACAAAAAATTGCACCTCATTAAATCTGAAGTACAATACCAAATATCCCACTGATCACTACGTCACTGACCGATGTTGTCATACACTGGAATATCTAAAAAGAGTTTTTAGAAAATAAAATATAAATAATAATAATAAAAAACCAACTTTTTTTGTCGTATTTAGATTTTATTTCTTTATCATTTTTATAATTATAATTAAGCAAGTTTATTGTATTTAACATTTAATTTTCTTTCTTGCAATGGCTAAAAATAATTCATTTTCAAAAGATCTTTGGTTTCTAGTTTTATAGATTTTACACAATTAATACGAGATTATTATGATATAGTTTGTGTTACAGAAACGGCTTTATAATGACATTGATTCAAATCTAGTCGTTTTGCCAGGTTTTAAATTTTATCGAAAGGATAGGACAAACAGGATGGGAGGTGGTGTAGGCTGTTATGCAAAATCAAATTTAAATTGTAATCAAACAACAATATCATATCCACTCAGCAGTCTGGCTTTGGCAAAAATCACAGTACTACTTCTGCGTTATCAAATCTAACTAACAATATCATAAGATCTATTGATAAAAAATTGGGTGTACTACTAATAAAATAAACTATTCCAAAGCCTTTGATTTAATTAACCACGACTTACTTTGTGCTAAACTGAAATACTATTGGCTTAGATGACAGTTGGAGACGTGTTTCGTTAACAATCATTGAATTGACACACATACTTCCGATTTATTAAATTCGCAGTTTTATTTAAATACGGTTTTTAAATAAACACAATTAAAATTGACTTATGATGAATTTTAGAGTTTGACAGTTTAATTAGAAACATCGAGATAAAATAATGTAAAGAGGAAATAAACACCATTTTGCAATATGACAAGTGAACGCACATTGAGTCGTATTTTGATTAATTTGACGTTAATAATTTTAAATTTGAAGATTGTCTGAATGAAAATGTTTTTATATCATTTAAGTCATGCTATTTAAAAAAAATGGTATTTATTCTCATTAAAACTGACTAACACCACTTGCTCGAGTTTGACATATGACGTAAAACTGTGCGGACACTTTTAGTATCATTATAGAATCTCCTCTATATTTTATATAAGTCACTGGAAAGTTCGTATGCCCCGCCATACTTTGTGACGTCACTGTGTGCGTTGCACAAATTAAGCTGATTTAAGTAATTTTTTGATTGTTTCACTACGTTTCAGGGATCTGTTAACGTGAGACATATCTTTTTAGCTTTCAAGAACGCTTCTCACTCCTTCGGGTCCACTTATAAAAGAGCGTCACGAAAATGCGATTAACCAAAGCGCAGTGGTGTACCCAAAAATACTGATTAACACGTATGAAAACAATAAAATTATTAAAATTGGATTAATATTTTTATGTTACTAATTTTAAAATAATGTGTTTTTATGAAATGTAACTGGGTGTTCACTGCACAAATGAACCAATGGAGAAACCGCTCCTGTTGAAAAGGCAATTTTTAGAAATGTCGTCCACAATTGTAATATCCGATTTAATACTCGTACCATACCACACGATTCTACTGCACTGTTTAAGCGTTCTTTTACCTATAATTTAGTTAAGTTTTATAATTTGTTTCAACATCTTAATGTCTCTTCCTTCACTCAACAATTTTCGTTACACTACTAAAAATATTCTCCTTAACAGGCAATAAATAATTGTTTTCTGGACATTTAATTTAAATTCTATTTTATATTTTTGGCTTAATTACTATTGCCTGACAACTTTTTTAATGCTTTTGTCGATTTCAAACTACTTTTTTTTATTTATTTATTTTTTTTCATATTCTTTTCTTTTGTAAACCAAGAAGGTTAAGAGTTAAATAGTAGCTTCAGCTAATCTTCGCCTTCTTGGTGCAAATGTAATGTAATAATTTATTTAATAAAGACATTATTTTTATTATTATTATTATTATTCATGTAGTTATGCTATTTTTATATAATTTGAATTTTTCTATTTTATTCTGTTCGTCTTTTTATTCTTCTGTAGAATTTTTTATTTTACTATTATTCTAATTTAATTTATATGTATATTTCGATTTTATATTTAATGTTTGTATATTTCTTTGATTCAGCGGCTTGTAGATGTGAATAGCCGTCACGATGACTTTTTTATATGTTTTATTATAATGTAGAATATTACAATATTACTCATGACTTCAAATGTACCTTGTATATAAAGTGGTCAATAAACGTTACTATACTATACTATTATTATTTGTATTATTTGTAATCTATAAAATACTATGTAACATAAAATCTTCAACAAATTTTTTATTCCATGAAACTTATTAATAAATATAACTTAAATTTCCTAAAAAAAAGAAAAAATGTAGGTTTGGGATGCATTCTCAATAGTCCGGTTCTGACGGATCGCCCATAAGCAACGCCCAGTGATACAGTTTTGAATGTTTAAAAAATAGCGTCTCCCGTAATAAACCTACTATTATCTACCTGTATATTGTACTTTCTATCATCCATATACGACTTAACTTGCTATTTTACAAAAAAGCAATAATTTTAATTAAAAGCTTAACTTATCTTTTAGATATTCCAGAAACAAGATCTTTATAAACATTGTGTTAATATTATTTAAAAACTTTTATAATATTAATAAGCTGCTAAATACTTATAAATTAAATTATTTCAATATTTATTCATCATGGGACAAGAGAACATATCGCCAAATAGTTACATTGTTAGTTCTCATGCAATTTTAGAAGTGTTGACTCGGTGTTGAGATCCCAATTATTCTTATACAAGTGAGTAATTTTAGTTTTACTATTTATTCTGAAGATTAAGATTAATTTTTTATTAACTCTATTGAAAGATATTAAAATAGTTGAATGAAAAGTTACAATTATGTTTGTTTTGTTGAAATAATAATTGTTAGTTCACAAACTATTTATTTTTTTCCCTTAAAATTATATTAACAAAAAAAGTATTATAATAATAATAATAATAATAATAATAATAATTATTATAGTAGTATTACCTAACTTATTTTTTGATTGTTTTATTTTATTAAAACTTTGAAACCAGAGAAGTTTTATTATTGCATGGTTAAGCAAAACTATTTTTTTTTAAATTAGTGACAGATCGGTTTAAAGTTGTTTAAATTTGTAAATTTGGTACATGATATAATACATGGAGAGAATTTTTTAAGGTACCGTCAAACGGGGTTAAAGTGAATCACAAAAAGCTGTTTTTTTCAGAATATTCCAAAACTACAAATATTAAAAATCTGTAAAAAAATAACGTATGTTGTTTGGGGCTTACCTCTCACTAATAACCAATTTTTATATTTTTATTTTACTTAGAAGTGCACAATGTTTTTTAGTAAAATGTGATTCACTTTACCCCTTATTTTGGGATAAAGTGAATCATAGTTTAAATCGCAAAGAAAATCACTTTGGCAAATGTCGGGTAAAGTGAACCACTGAAACAGTTTTTAAAAAAATATTTTAAACACTTGGTTGGAAAAATAAATAAAAGTAATACAAAGAACAAAAACGTTTATTTAAAAATAGTAAAAAAACAGCTTTTAATCATAAAGCAAAGAGGAAATTTACGAACTAAAAATATAATATTCGTCACCTTTAACGGAAATGATTCACTTAACCCCGTTTGACTTTTTCGAAAGCAAAAATTAAAAAAAAAATCATCAAGTGAAACTTACGTATTATCCATAAACTCGCTTCACAGAAGAAAACTACAAATTCTAGATAGAGCGCATTTTTTATATTGATTTGAGGTAAATCACCTTATCCAAAAATGATTGTTAAGGGAGGTAAGGGCCCTTTAAACTTCGGTTTTATTCAAATATATTCAAAACAGTTTTCTTTTATGTACATTTATTTGATGGAATATTCAGAATAGTGTAAATAAATGGTCAGTTCAAGTAGTTAAAGATTACAAGTAGGTATTTGCTCCTGAATGATTGTTATTTTGTGTAAGAAAAAAGTTATATCACAACAAAGAACAATTTTTACATCTAATTGGGTATTTATAAAAGCATGTAATATTAGTATTTTGTTTTTCATAATCGAATTTTAATGATTTGAATGGAACAACGCATTGGAATTTTTATTCCCATTTACGTAGAATCGATAATGGTGTTTATTTTTAAAAGAAAACATTGATTCATTCAATTAATTCGGCATTTAGATGAAACTTGTGATTAAAAACCATGATTCGTCCATTCAATTAGTCATTTAGAAGAAAATTGGGTTAAAGAAACCAATATTGATGAAAATTCCTTCCCAAAATCACCCTATAGAATAACTACATGTTATTACAACGATGCCAAATATTAGAACATTTACTTTCTTCTCGTAGTGCGTAGATAGTTTCTGTAGTATGTATTTTTTTTAGTTGTCTTGTCTAATTTAACTTTTGTGGGCGCTTTTAAATTAGCCGAATCTGCTTTCACAAGTCCAGGATTCATGTTCAATACTTACAAAAGATTCAAAAATTATATTAAAATTGTATGAATTAATTTTAGTATTAATCTAACATACAGGGTGGGCCATCAAAAACGAAATGGTTCAAGTTTAAGGTTCTTAATGTCATTTAAAAAAAAATCGCTTGAACATGTCAATTTATTTGTCGAGGGGGTAACCCTTTAGACTTACTTCCAAACCCCTATGTTTAACCCCTTGTACACTCCTAAAATCTTAAATGGAAAGTGAGGTTGAGTGGCACCTTATTTGAAAGGTCTTTTAATTATCTTTTCAATGATGTCTTATTTGTGAAATGAAATTTCGACATTTTAAATTTCAAGTTTATTCATTTCATTTACAAAAACGCTTACGAAATCAAAAAGATAATTTGATAATTTTAATAGACTTTAGTGTTACTTAATTAAATGATCAAACTATACAATTGAATTGCTTACCCCGTCGAAACTTAAAAAATTAAAATTGTTACTTATGAATCAAATTGAAAATTGTTAGCTGAATTGGTGGAATGTTTGCAAATCAATAAATCTATACACTGGGGAACAGCCAAATGGAATAAATTCGATAATAAATAAATGGGGGAGTGTTATTTTCAGTTGCGCATGTTTTTTAACAAAAATTATTTATACAGGGTGTGACCAATACCAACTTTCTTATTTTAAATGCAACACCCTGTATATTTTTAAATATTTGGAGTCTTCAAAAAATTCTAGACAACGGTAAAGTGCTAATAGCGGAATAGAATACACTCTTGCTACACTCAAAGAATTTGAAGATAGCGGTAACTTTCCCATAAATCAACTATCACCAGTCAAAACGTTTCAAAATCGCCTGAGAAATCTCACACAACTTCTGTCTCAAAAAATAATAACTTAAATAATTCGTCTCAAGTCATTTCTGCTGATTCCGCATTAAAAAAAGAAAAAATTAAACTTCACAGATCCAACTCCACTTCCAGGACCAAAAGCGACAATTCCAGTAGATCAACAAGAAATAACGTAAAGAAATAACGTTAACAATAATATTATCTTCCAACTCTAGTAAAAATTTATGTTCCTTCCAATTTAATTCCTATATTTTTGTAGCTGTTGATTTATTTGTAATTATTAAATAGCTGTTCAATTATGTTCAAATCATTTTCAGTTTGACATGTTAATGCTAGATCTGTTTTTCAAATCACTTCTACATAATCATAGTATCAGAATCATGGTTTAACAGTTTGTGGGTTTCAATAAAAATTTCGCTTTCTGTTCCATTTATAAAACCCCAGATTTTCCATTTCAACAATTTATTGAGGAATTTGATGTATGTTTAAACGAAATAGCATCCAAATTTGATTACATCATTGCCGGAGGAGATTTCAATATCAATTATTTTGATCCGGAGAGTGTACCTTATAAATTATTACAATCTGTTCAAGACTCTTATAAACTAATTCAGGTAATTGATCAACCTACGAGAGGTGTAAAATTGCTTGATCTTATTTTGTGTTCGGATAATCTTAAAATTAGAAATGTTCCATTTTAACAGATCACTCAATTCCTTCGTGTACTATTGGATGTCAAATTATTAAACCAGAAACATTTATGTACACATTCCGGGACTTTATACACTTTGATGCCACTGACTTTCTCCAGGATCTGCTCAACGCCGATTTTAATAGAATAATATTAGCGGACAATGTTGACTTAAAAATTGAAACATTAAATAATATAATTTTAAACTTGTTTAAAAGACATGCTCCTAAAAGAAAAATCAAAATAACCAAAAGCAAATTGCGGGATAAAGCCCTACAAAGATTCAACAAAACTAAAAAGCCACATCATTGGGACTATAAGACATTACGTAACGAGGTCAATTACGCAATTAAACGAGAAAAAAGAGCTTATGTAGAATTCAGGTTGCAAAGTAAAAATAAGATTTGGAAAGAATTAAAACATCTAGACATAATTCACAATAATAAAAAATCGTCATTGAATATTCATCACCACTTGCAAAATGCTGACACCATAAATAATTATTTTATTAATGGTATTGGAGGTACTGATTCCCCAGACCTAATTATCCTGGAAATTTATCGAACATCGGCTATCGATAATGTTGATACGTTTAATTTTAAAACTGTACAAGAACTAAAAGTCTATGAAAAACTGCTTTCAATAAAATCAAATGCCAGCGGTCCAGACCAGATAAATATTACTATGCTACTCCACTGTAGACATGGGTAACGCAGCGCTGCGTTGCGTTATTGCGTTAACGCAGTTGTATGCGTTACGAGCGTTGATACACCAGCTGTTACTGTATCAGCGCAACGCAATTTTCGATACTGAGTCGAAAGGATCGCGAGTTGTTGATGCGTCATGCGCCAGGCACTGATTCCGTTTTCCGTGACGAGTTGAGAATTTTAATTTACGTAATTGATGCAACTCGTAATACAGATTACCCAAAATCTATCAAGTAATTATGTTCTTTGCAACATGTCACATCATTTGTAGAATTGTAGGTCGAATTTTATGGATTTTAACCTTATACACTGTCAGTGTTTAGTTCTTTCCATTTTGATTGGCTACTAGTATACAAAAGTTATATCCTTTTTATATAAATTGGAATTTTTGTATTCTTTGTAAAATCCGAACACAAAGAAATAAAAAAATGGGTGCATTACACTGTTATATTTTCGTTTATTTTGAAACATATAATAAAAAAAAATTTAGTTAAATTCCCAATTGCGTTATTGTCTTGAACACGGTTTGACCCACAAAGCATGTATCTTCTAGAGACCCCACGCCAATGTTAAACTTTTAAACCAAATTAGCGCCACCTTGTGTTTGGAGCTGGAACTAAAATGACAATTGACAGATGGCGGTAAATTCAAATTGTAATTTTTAGGAGTAGGTAGTAGTTTTAAATTAAATTTTAATGATTTCCACATAAATTATTTTATAAAATAAAGTATGGAACTAGTAAGTTCGAAACTTTTATTTTACAAAATAATTTAGGTCGATTATACCAAATTTGAAGACTTAATTTGTTATAAGAGGTCTAATGTGGAGAGTTGGTTCTGCATATTTTTATTAAATAAATATAAGATATATCAATAAATAATAAAATAGAACATTCTTAAAATATGTTTATTAATAACTTAAATAAATATTATTAGATAAAAATAAATACAAATAATAATAATAATACATATTTAACGAATACTTACTTGGAGCAAATAGATATATAATCTCAAATCTTTAAAATACCTATCAATAATTTAAATGTGAAGTAGAGACTAGGATATTACATTTTATTAA